CTCTAAAGTCCCGCCTGAAAGTAGTTAATTATTGCTCAATTGCAGTGTCATTGCCCCCCTCCTTTAAGTCTCCGTGTTCAGCCAGGCAGAGGGAGGACAGGGAATCCCCTCTGTCATGCTTGCTGTGGTCCCTATCTATCCCAGGGAAGTCATGGTATGATTTCAACACTTTGCCTCTCTTGTCCTTTGCTCCTGGGCCTCCCCAGCTCCCATCAGCCTCTGGCCCGTGAATTACAGGCTCCTGGCTGCTCCTGAGGTTCCCCAGTTTGAGGAACCCCCTGAGGAGCAGGCTGGCTGTGCCAGCAGCAGAGCCACTCACCTCAGCAAGTGAGACAACAACAGTGGCACATCTTAACCAAAGGGAGCCCACGCTGCGGGGGAGGGAGGAGGACACAGCACCCAGTGAGCCCCACCACTCTCCTCCAGGAGCAGCTCTGGCCACAGCAGGACATAAAGAGTTGATTATCCCTGCAGGCTTGAGCTCTCTCACCAGTCCCCTCCTGCCAGCTGCAGTGAAGGGCAGCAGTGTCACAACCTCCCCACTCAAAGTGTAATCTGAAAGTTCCCCACCAATTACGAAGATGTCTTGACCTCTTTCAAGCTGCCTGTTCCTCACTCAGGTGGATAAAGGAGAGAAGCCATGTGGATTCCTGCTGATCATCCCTAGCCAAGGTGGACTGTTTCAGACTAAAGCTTTCCCTGTCTGCTTTGAGCCCTTTAGGCTTTGTTCTGGTTCTCCGTGGGGAAGCTGCCAAGATGAATACAGCTCCAGGAATGGGTACTGGGGGAAGGGCTCCTACCTGTAATGTGTTGCTGATGCTGCTAGAGTCAAAACTGGCTTTTAAGCAGCAGAGAATGACTTTTTGGAGGATACAAAATGCTCCTGGCACCTAAAAGGACCCAGCTGCCCTCATCCATGAAGTGCCTCCGCTTGCTTGCAGGTGAAACAGAGCAAAACTAATGGGAAGAGTTGTCCAAGCATCCCTTGAAAAGGGCAAAGGCCTGAGGATGCAGGAAGAGGTATGTGGGCACTGCTGAGCTCCTGCCAGGCTCACCTGCCTGTGGGCAGCGTGTGCTCCCTGCTGGGTGCTCAGCACATCCCCTGCTTCCACCCCAGGCTGCTCCCAGCTTGAGCTGCATGTCCTGGACAATCTGTGCAAAAAGCCCCTGTGCAAGGAGCTGCTTCCCAGCAGGCACAGGCAGCCTGGGAGGTGAGAAGAGCAATGCCAGTACGTCCAGCTGCCCCCACACATCAAGCTCTCACCTGGCTGCCCATGTCCCCAGGACTGCCTGCAGCCACCTGCTGACAGCTCTGGTCCCCAAGGACCACGGGGATGGTGGCAGCCCTTGCCATGGCAACCATCACCGTGGCACCCAGCATCTCCATTCCCCAGGGAACGTCCCCTCCCCTGTGCAGGCAGGGCTGGAAAACAGCAGGGGAAAAACAAAGTGTTGTCTGCTCAGGAAGAGCCCAGGGCTACCCCAGAGGGAACACTGCACCTTGGGTAGCTGCCAGAGCGCAGGGGGTGTGCAGTCGTTTTATATTCCCCAGCTACTCCCCAAGGGGCAAATCAAAGGCAGGACCTGGAATCACCACTCCAGTGGGCATAAAAACATTGTCCAGCAGCTACAGTAATACCACTGGAGGGGATCAAATCAGTGAGCCAAGGCTGTGAGCCAGCACTGTGGGGTCACAAGCCCTACAAGCTGTCCACGGGCGGATGGGATGTGCCACCACTCTGTGCCCACCCCAAGCCCAGACTGCAAATCCTCTGTAGGATGGAGAGAGGTTTGACCACGGAATGACTTGGCCTCTCACCTGCCCTGACTTTTCCCTAGCCCTGTCCTGGTGCTGCCTGGGGATGCTGCTGGAAAGGGAAGAACCATTTTCCATCAGCCCGGTGGCTACTCCCACACTGACCCCTTGATCTCTTTGGTGCTGATTCAAGACAGCTGCTATTGCCTGCTTGGTCTTTCATTTATCTTTCCCCATCCTCAGCATTTTTCCTCCCGGAAATCCCTCGGGGCAAAGAGAGAGGCCCCAGACAGGAGCTGAGCCCCTCCTGTGCAGGGCACGCCCCTCTCAGGCCATTCTTTTGGCCCCAGTGCCATAAATCAGCCCCGGCAAAGCAGCAGGGGAGCAGTTTGGTGAAAGGCTGCAGGGACAGCAGTACCTTTATTAGGTTCCCCCAGCACAGCTGGAAAAAATAAGGAGCCCAGACAGGCTTTCAGGCACATAACCCCTGAGCTGAGCCCTGCATTTGGTCCTGTCTGCTGATTTAATAACAGATCAGCTTTCCCCACAGACCACATCTCCTGTGTAGCCTTAAACCCCCCTGGTTAAACACTGCCCCAGAGAATCAATCCAAGATGGTTTTGTCCCTTTGATCAGCGCAGCAGGTAATAAGTCACTGACGGAAATGTGTTTCACTTCTCTGGCTCCAACAGCAGAAATGGAGACAGCCCCTCTGTCCTGAACTGCCTGGTGAAAACCTCACAGTTCCTGGGCAAGCAGGAGGAGATGGACAAAGGGGTTTGTAGGGTGGCTGTGGAGGTCCCCAGGGACACACAGCAGCACTTGGCTGTCCAAGGAGTGAGCAAATTCCCTTCCCACAGGGATCCATCCCGATCTCCAGCCTCAGAGACGGCCACAGCGTTTGCAGTGCTGTCTAACTGTGGTGACAAGCACAGGTCGCCTGACAAAACCAGGGAAGGCTGGTCTGGGAACTGCTGAGGGACTCCCACAGGTGCCTCTGGGCACACAGGTGGTTGAGTCACCTGGCAGAACTGGCTCAACTGTTTAATGACTTTAATGTTTCTAGAGAGCCCAGAGCATCAGATGTGCTCTTTAATTCCTCGCTTTTGCCCATATCCAGTCCTCTGTAAACAGGAGTGCACATTACATTATAAAAGAATTGTGAAGATTTCTTCAAATCCCATTTTTAAACTAAGGGTTTCTTCTTATTTCCCTATATTTAAAGAGGATTATTTAACTCTTCTTTGAAGTGCTGTCTCCTCCTCCAGTGGAGTACTTTAGTGTGTGCTCCAGAGATGTTAAACTCCCTCTGAGCTGAGGGAGGAGGCTGAAAAGTGCAGTGTGGAGGTGGTCACTGGGTGTCAGGCGCTGTGTGTCAGCCAGACTGGGTTGGAGAGAGCTGGAACGAGCTAAGAAGGTGGCTTTTGATCTCTCAGCCCTCCTTCAGGTACCCTCCAAGTGCTTCTGTCCCTGAACACTCAGCACATGCTGCCCCAAGACTGAACCTGGAAGGGGAAGCAGATGTGCTCATTGCTTTCAAAGACCCTTTTTGTCCTGTCCTGGCTCTGTTTACTATTTTTCACTGTTACACGAGGGTGAACGCTGTGCAAGAACTGTTCCTGGTGGACAGAACTCCTGGGCCAAGCGGCGGAGTTTGACCTGGATGATGCCATTCCCAAACTGCAGCTCCTCAGGGACAAACAGAAAACATTTGGCATCGAGTGCTTGGAGCAGGTCATTGCCCTGGAGCGGTGTGGCTCCACCGAGACCTTGTGGTGCCTCCTGTGGACGCCGCTTTGGGCAGGTGAGGCTGGAGAAACACTGTTATGTGTAGTAGATATAATTTGCGCCATTTCTAATATGATATATGTGATATTGAATATTTGTTAGAGTATACATGTTTGTATTAGGATTCCCCCCCTCACAGGCTCAGGTGAGACCGGGTGTAGATTGGAAACTGATTTACAAGTAAGAAGGTACAGCTCGCCAGGAGATGGGCCATGTCTGGGGAGATACAGAAACCCCAGGTGCTGAATGACCCGAGATGGATATCATGGAAATCCTCAGGCAGACACATGTGAATACAGCGTTCCCATAAATTTCATCAAAGGATTCAACAAACTCCAGACAGTGATTTGTTCTCCCTCATCACCAAAAAAGAAAATCTTATTAACATATGGACTCTGAATAGAAGAAAAGACTGATTGCTGAAATCTTGGCCTCAGGCAGAACTTTCCCTATAAAAACCGCTTGTGCCAGGATGGAGGTGTGTGGGCATAGAGGAAAACCTCTGCTGAGGCTGACTCCTTGTTGCACACCCAGGGCTGACCCTGGGCTCGGCCCTGTTCTTTCCTTGTGGCTGGCTAGATAAAATTTGATTGTAAAATAAATATTTTATTTTTCATATTAATTTGGCTGGACAAATTTTCATTTATAACAAACACCAAGGCATGGACAGAGCAGGGGGTCAAGGAAGACGAGGACTCCCCAGGTGGTGCCTGTGGAGCTGAGGGCTGTGCGCCATAACCACGCTGTGCAAAGCCATGACCTGGAGCTGGCAAAGTGCTCTTTGAGGTGATGAACATCATTTCTTCCGAGACCAGGATGTACAAGTGATCACTATCCATCTGAGCCGGTGGGACGACAGCAAGCCTCACAGCAGCAGCCTTTCCCAAGAATGAGGACTTTCTGGGCTTGGAAAACCGTACGTTTTGGAAAGACGTACCAGTTTAGGAAGGGACTCCCAAACCGTGGTGGTGCCATTGCTGTGAGGGCCGCCCCCGGCGCTGCGCACGGTCCTCCCGCCCGGCAGGGGGCGCCCTCCGCGCCCGGGCGGAACCAGCGAGAGCGGCGCGCACCGCCCCTCTGCCGCGTGGGTCCGCCCGCGTGACAGGGCGGGGCTCCCCATTGGCTGGGCCGGGCGCGCGCCCCCGCGGGGGTAAGTGCGCGTGTGGGTGTGCGTGTGCGTGTGCGCGTGCGCGTGTGAGTGTGTGCGTGTGTGAGTGTGAGTGTGCGCTCCGGTGTTCCCCCGTGGCATCCCCATACCTGCACATCCCGGAATGTGTTCCCGCGTGGGCAGCATCATCCCGCGTGTGTGCCGGTGTGCCCGTGCCGCGTTCGTGCGTGTCCGTGTGCGGGTACCGGGAAGCGCGCAGGGCTGTGTGAACGCCGTGCAGCGCTCGGGTGTGTCCGGGTACCTGGATGTGCACACCCGTGCAGCATTCCCGTGTGATGGGGTACCTGGATGTGCACACCCGTGCAGCATTCCCGTGTGATGGGGTACCTGGATGTGCACACCCGTGCAGCATTCCCGTGTGTCGGGGTACCTGGATGTGCACACCCGTGCAGCATTCCCGTGTGTCGGGGTACCTGGATGTGCACACCCGTGCAGCATTCCCGTGTGATGGGGTACCTGGATGTGCACACCCGGTGCGTGTGGGTCCGTGTGTGCTCTGACACCCGTGTGGGTGTGGGGTGGCGCAGACCCTGCTCTGTGTCAGCGCTGACCCCGCTCTGTCCCCTCTCTCTCCGCAGCCCCTCTCCGTGCCCCATGGAGGCCTTGCTGAGGAGCTGCCGTGTCCCGGCGCTGGGCGCCCGGCAGTGTGGGATCAGGGCCCGGCACGGCGGCCCCCCGGGCAGGCCCAGGCGCCTGCGGCTCTCGCAGCTCTTCCAGCCGCTGGCCCTGCCCGTGGGCGGCCAGGTGAGCTCCGAGGCCCGGCCCGGGGAGCCCACCTGCCGCAGCCAGCGGCTGATGCTGCAGGCGGGGCTCATCCATCCCACCAGCCCCGGCTGCTACTGCTACCTGCCGCCCACCGTCCGCGCCATGGAGAAGCTGATCCAGCTGATGGATGAGGAGATGCAGGCTGTGGGTGGGCAGAAGCTGAACCTGCCCAGCCTGTGCTCGGCGGAGCTGTGGCGCGCCAGCGGCCGCTGGGACCAGATGGGGCCGGAGCTCTTCCGGCTGGTGGATCGGCACGACCACGGCTACTGCTTGGGCCCCACGCACGAGGAGGTGGTGACGGCGCTGGTGGCCTCGCAGACCGGCCTGTCCTACAAGCAGCTCCCGCTGCGCCTCTACCAGGTCACCAGGAAGTTCCGGGACGAGCCCAAGCCCCGTTTCGGCTTGCTGCGCAGCCGGGAGTTCTACATGAAGGACATGTACACCTTCGACAGCTCCGAGGAGGCGGCTCGGCGCACCTACGAGCAGGTGTGTGCTGCCTACTGCAGCCTCTTCACCCGCCTGGGCCTGCCCTTCGTCAAGGTGCAGGCGGCCACGGGCAGCATCGGTGGCAGCACATCCCACGAGTTCCAGCTGCCGGCAGACATCGGCGAGGACAGGCTGCTGCTGTGCCCTCAGGGCCATTTCGCAGCCAACGTGGAGACGCTAAACCGGGAGCAAACCTCATGCCCCACGTGCGGGGAGAAACTCACCGAGACCAAAGGCATCGAGGTGGGGCACACGTTTTACCTGGGCACCAAGTACTCCTCCGTCGCCAATGCTGTCTTCTCCTCCGCCGAGAACAAGCCCCAGCTGGCAGAAATGGGCTGCTACGGCCTGGGCGTCACTCGCATCCTGGCGGCCTCCATCGAGGTGCTCTCCACCGAGGACAGCATCCGCTGGCCCAGCCTCATCGCGCCCTACCAGCTCTGCTTCATCCCCCCCAAGAGGGGCAGCAAGGAGGAGGAGGAGGGAGCGGCGCTGCTGGAGCGGGTGTACGATGAGCTGGAAGAAGCGCTGCCCCACCTCGCCGGTGACTCGGTGCTGGATGACCGGAGCCAGCTGACCATCGGCAAGAGGCTGAAGGATGCCAAAAGGCTGGGCTATCCCTACGTGGTGGTGGCTGGGAAGAGGGTCTGCGAGGACCCCCCGGTCTTTGAGGTTTGGAATCAGAATGCCAGCGAGGTTTTGTTCCTCACCAAAGAAGGTGTCATAGAGCTGCTGAGTAAAGTCCAAGTCCCTTAAATGCCTCCTCTGTGAATCCGTCATCTCTGCTGCAGTGAGTTCATCTGGGCAGCCCTGGCGATGGCTCTGGGTGAGCAGAGGCAAATCCAGCTCACATCAGAGCCAGCCACGGCGTCCTGCAGGTGTGCCAGGTGCTGAGGTTGATCTGGAATCAGCCCACATTCCACCACATGGTTGGGGACGTTCCTCCCTCTGGGTACAGCTCCCTGGAAGTTGCTTTTTCCAGCACTTATAGCCTTGTGTGGCTGTGGGAGCACTGGCAGGGCCAACCTCTCACTGCCTGGCAGGGATGGACTGGCCAAGGTCTCTGTCACAGGACAGCCAAGGTCTCTGTCATAGGACAGCCAAAACTGCCCAGGGCGACAAGAGGGCTCCCCTCGCTGCCTCAAAGGATTCTAAGAGAGACAAAGAAAGGTGACTTCCCTGTGTTTGCATTTCCCTTCAGGAACACCCAGGTCCCATGAAGGTGGAAGCTTGCCATGGCAGGCCCAGGGCTCCTGTGAGGAACTGCTTGGTGCCATCCCAGCAGCACTGATGGGACGGGGAGCTGCTTGGAGAGGTCACCTCACCCTGTGCCACAGCTCCTCGGTCTGGGATCTAGAAATCATGAGCTACACTGTAATAAAATCACAGAATCGTTAGGTTGGAAAAGTCCTTTAAGATCATTGAATCTAGCCATTAACCTGAGCTGCCAAGGCCACCTGTAACCCGTGTCCCCAGGTGCGTGTTTAAATCTCTCCAGGGATGGTGACTCCATCACTGCCGTGGGCAGGCTGTTCCAATGCGTGACAACCCTTCTGAGGAAGAACTTTTTTCCTAATATCCCTGCTGGGGCGTGGGTGGGGGCTGATGAGGTTGCCGGTGGGATGCCGGGGCCGCTCGGGGTTGGGATTGAGGCGGGGGAGGGTGGGATGGCGGTGCCGGTTCGGGTGCCGGGGCGGTGTCGGGACTGGTCGGATGCCGGTGCCGGTACCGGTGGGATGCCGGGGCGGTGTCGGGACTGTTCGGATGCCGGTGCCGGTGGGGTGCCGGGGCTCATCGGAAGCAGCGGGGCCGGGCCTGAGGCGGCGGGGCGGTCGCAGGCGGGGCCGGGCGGCAGCAGGAGGAGCAGCGGGAGCATGGCGGAGGCCCACACTGAGCAGGATGGCGTGTCCGGAGCCCCGGCGGCGCCGCGGTACCGGGCAGCGCTGCACCCCGACACGTGGGAGCAGGTGAGGCGGCGGGGCCGGGCGGGCCGAGCCGAGCCGAGCCCGGGGCGCTGTGTGCGTGTCCGTCTGTCCGTCCCCAGGAGCTGGAGGCCATCCCCATGTTCATGAAGCGCTGCCCGGCCGAGATCGATGCGGAGCGGCAGCCCGAGCTCGCCTGCCTGCAGTCGCTGCTGTTCGATGAGGAGCGGAGCCCCGCAGGTGCGGCTTGCCCTGCCCGGCCCTGCCCTGCCTGGCCCTGCCTCTCCCTGCCCTGCCCGGCCTGTCCCGGCCCTGCCTGTCCCTGCCTTGCCCTGCCCGTCCCGGCCCGGCCTGTCCCTGCCCTGCCCGGCCTGTCCCTGCCCTGCCCGGCCTGTCCCTGCCCGGCCCTGCCCTGCCCGGCCTGTCCCTGCCCGGCCTGTCCCTGTCCGGCCCTGCCCTGCCCGTCCCTGCCCAGCCTGTCCCTGTCCGGCCCTGCCCTGCCCTGCCTGTCCCTGCTCTGCCCTGCCCTGCCCTGCCTGTCCCTGCCCCGCCTGACCCCGCTGCATCCCCGCAGAGCTGGCCGGGATGTACAAGAACGAAGGGAACGAGTACTTCAAGGAGAAGGACTACGGCAGAGCGGTGGCCGCCTACTCGGAGGGGCTGCGGAGGCGCTGCGGGGACGCCGGGCTGGACGCGGTGCTGCTCACCAACCGGGCGGCCGCACATTTCCACTTGGGTAAGGGGCTCCGCGACCCACAGCTGCTTTGCCTCCCTGTTTGGGGTTTCCTTTTTGTTTGTTTTGGGGTTTGTGATAGCTTAGCCGTGAGAAGGAGACGCCTTGAACCCTGAAGACCTGGCTCACTTCAGGACATGGCTGCGTGCAGGGTTTGTCCTCTGCTCCTTCCAGCTGTTACCTGCTGCTCGAGCCTTGGCAAAACCAGGGGGTTTTAGAATCATAGACTAGTTTGGGTTGGAGGGGACCTTTAAAGGCCATCTGGTCCAACCCCTCTGCAAGGAGCAGTGACATCTTCAACTAAACAACTTTGTTCAGCCTGGCCTTGAATGTTTGCAGGGATGGGGCTCCTACCACCTCTCTGGACCACTTCTGCCAGTGCCTCACCGCTCTCATTGTAAAAAATTTCTTCCTTCTGTCTAGTGCAAGTCTACCCTCATTTAGTTTAAAACCATTACTTGATGATCTTGGATGTGTTTACCAGCCTTAATTATTCTGTGACTCTCTTACAGCTACCACCATCCTACCAACAGGGAAGGTGTTCTGGGCCTTTTAACGCTGCTGTGTGTTGCAGCAGAGAGGTGACCAACTCACACCGTGTTATTTACCTCTCACCTGTGTGATTGATCCCTGCCCTTTCTCTTCTTTTTAGTTTGCTCTTCTTTTATCCTCCTCTCACCTCGCTGTGGTTGTAGGAACAGTGAATTACAGGGTCTCTGCATAAACCTTTTTGTCACCTTGGTGGCTGGTTGGATTTTAAATACAAGTGAAGGGTTCTGAGCTCTTTTACTTGCTTTGCAGGTAACTACCGCTCTGCTCTAAATGATGCCATCCAAGCCAAAAAGCTGAAGCCCACCCATCTCAAAGCCATCATAAGAGGTGAGAGTTAAAGCTGGTGTTGCTGCATGGAGCAGGAGTCCTTTTCAAACACTTGGCTGATATTTACTGATTGTGCTGTCATTGTTACCAGCACTAAAACAGGCTGTTGTTATTTGTTGCCTTGTTTCCTTGCAAGTTTCTGCTGTGTAATAATTGTGTTTTTAAAGCTTAATTTACTGTGAGTGGGCATCATACTTTGTTTCTGCCCAGAGTTCATTTCAGAAAGGGAAAGCAGTTACTGGAAGAGATCTCTTCACTTGTTGTTGCTGCTGTTTCTCCCCAAAACAGAACTCTTGCCTTTTGCTTTGCATTTTCAATCAAAATATCCTTTTGTTCTTCATCTCCTATATCTATCAGAGGCACTGGACCCATTTATTTTGAGTATGGGATAACTTTTCCTGTTTTCCACAATACTGGTTTTGGGATCTGTTCTTTTTTTCCCCACTCCATAGAAATCCCCTTTTGTTTTTCCTAACAAGACAAATACTGAAATATTGATTAAAATTATAACATTTTGTTTGTAACAGACACTTTTAACATAATTCTGCTGATTTCTGTGTCTAAGTGGTGTAAGAACTGATGAAATACTTTACATTTTCTTCTCAACTTATCTGCTGGAAGTTTCTGGTTGAACATGACCGCAAAATACAAAAAAGTTTAGTGCAGAAGCACTAAATGTGCACAAGCTGTCTTTATAATCACCACTTTTATAGTTGTTGTACAGACTCCAACACTGGAAACTTACAATATTAAACTGACAATATTGATCCTTCCAGGAGCTCTCTGTCACATGGAGCTAAAGAATTTCGTGGAAGCAATAGCATGGTGTGAGGAAGGCTTGCAAATAGACTCAGAAGAGAAAAAGCTTGTGGAAATGAGGGCTAAAGCTGACAAATTAAAGGTAAGGATGAAGGCAGCCTGGCATCTGCAGTGCTTGTCTCTTTGGGTCCTTGGAGGGAGGAGTGGAGTCCCCAGGCAGGACTGAGTGCTGCTCCCATGTGCTGTGTGTTGGGATGTGCAGGGGAAGGAGCTGGAGGGGACCTTCCTGGAGACCCAAACTGATTTCTCCACCAGGAGAAAACGTCAGGGAAGAGCAGTGATGGGCACTGACCTGCTCTGTGTGACCTCGGTGCATCCTTTTCTTACCTGTAGCGAGTTCAGGAGAGGGATGCCAGGAAAGCAAAGGTGATGGAGAGCAAGGAGCAGTGTCAGAAGGAAATTTTGCTTGCAGCAATAAAGGTGAGTCACTGAGGGGGGCTGGTTTTGTGTGGTTTGGGGTTTTTTTAAGGGCTGTCTCATTTTTCTCTAGAAGTTGGCTCTCGTACATTGGCTTTTGAGGGCTGGAGCAAAAAAAATTTGAGTTAAAACCATGATTCTCCAGGTCTGCATGGCTCTAGCCCCACCTCCCAGCTGTCTGTATTTCAGGTACCAACTAATGCAAAATACAGACCCAGTGTTAGGAGATGGGCTGAGCTTTGTGAGTGCTCTGGCTGCTGGGCTGCAGCATCACATCAGCCCAGTGAACCTGGCTTTGTGTGCTGCCCACAGGCAGTAATTCTGTGGAAGAATAGAAGATAACTGTTCAATAAGGTAGAGGAGGGAATCAGTCCTGGATCTTCTCCTTCCTCAGTGAAGGTTTAAACTACATTAAAGTATTTGGGGCTCTTACATACAGTCAGATCTCTTCTGCTGTTTTCCTTTTTCCAAGGAAAAGAGTGAGCTTTCTTCAGTTTTCTGAAAGAGCAGATGTTCTCAGGAGCTGGTATGTGTAGCTGCACCCTGTAGTGATGCCTGGCAGGCCACAGAGAAAAGGATTTTAGGTGCATCCCTTTCCACATGTTAGCTGGCTCATTAACAAGAACAACATAATTTGACCTTTTACTGACCGCTAATTTTTTGTTATTCTCCCCACCATAACTATTGAGGATTTTTTGTTGGTTTTTGGTCTTTCCCTTCTATCCCCTCTAGGAAAGAAATATCAAGTTGGTTCTTGAGCCTTCAGATGAAGAAGAGGAAGTGTCAGATGGCCTGGCTGAGTTATCCTTGGATGGGTTCCACTCTGGCAGTGCCACGGGAGCAAAGGTGCACTTAGATGCTGATGGCAACCTGAGCTGGCCTGTCCTCTTCCTGTACCCTGAGCACGAGCAGACAGATTTCACTGTGGCTTTCCATGAGAACTCCAGGTAAATGCACTGCCAGCAGCATTCTTGCACTGAGGAGGTGTTGGAGCAAATAGAACAGTGAAACACTGCCATGCTTGTCCCAGATTTCTAATCACACAGCTGACCCTTCTTTTGAGCAGGAGGCTGCACTAGATGACCTCCTGAGGTCCTCTCCAACCTGAAATATTCTGTGATTTACCTAAATTTATCCTGCAGACAAAACACATTTAGCCAGGGTGACTGAAGGGGCTTGCAGTACAATTACTCAGACCAGTAATTAATTAGTGTGACCCATCCACACGTGTGGATTTTAGAGATTCATTAAGGTGCCGTTTCAGAGCCCTCCAAAAAAAGTTCAGAGCCCAGGAAAAAAAAAAAAAATTTACATTTAAAAATTGTGAAAAGCTTCTAAAGGGGATCTCTCATAACCAGCAGTGCCCCCAAAGTTCTCAGGGCCTTCAGCAGATCTGACTGAAGTGCTGCAGACCTTTCAGACTGGCAGTGACTGGCAAGCTCAGAATTTCACTCTCCTTGATGTTAACTTCAATTTCTTATCTTGTAGTGTTAAACAGACTTGTAATTTCTGGTTTTTGTAATTTGTAACTTTTTGTTTTGTTGGAAGACGTATTCCTCAGATCTGTCAATAAGTTTAGGACTTAAAATTACAGCGCAGACAGGTTGGTAAAGTTGAAGTACTTTCATGGTAGTGTTCACTGTGCCTTTTTGTGAATAAAGGAAGTGGAAATGGATTTTTAGAGCAAACTGGCCTCCCAACACTCCTTAAGTACCAAAATGAAGAAGGCTTTGACACACAGACATATTCTCATCACTCTGATCTGGTGAAGCTTGGGACTGTGTCAAAGGAAAATCCATTTTAGACAAAATGCAGGGTGTTTATTTGATATCTTTTTCAGTGTGAAAATGTAAAGTTAAAAATAATTTGTTGTTGCACTGCTCAAATTTGCAGCCAATAACCTGAGTTACAGGACCTTGAATTCATTGGGAAAATTATTTTTTTGAAGGGGAGGAACTGTTGGTGATCTAAACTTACCTTCAAATCTGTTGTTTAATTTGCTAATATATTTTTGCCATCATTCAAATGCAAGTATACGAGTTACTGAAGCTGAGCACTTTGTCTAAGCTGACCAAGTGTATTTTGGCTTTTAGGTTTATTGATCATTTAATGGTGATGTTTGCTGAGTTACCTCCTTGGGATTTAGAAAAAAAATACCTTCCCAACAATCTCGAGGTGAGAAGTTTGACTTTCCTTCAATTTCAGGGTTGTTGTGTTGTGGTTTTTTTTTTTATTTCTGGACTGAGAAAGTGCACAGCTCTGAGGGTATGAAAGTGTTGGCATCTGTTTAGTGTGCAGAGATGTGAAACAAGAAACCTCACTTATAAACTCAAACATTGTCCACATGTGCTGACAGAAATCACTGACAAAAATGTGGGTTGTCTTCCACTTATATTGTATTTGACAGAAGGTATTTATAGATACTGCTTAGATTCCATCTTTGTAACAATAATTAAAATTTAAATCATCAAACTGATAGGTGGTCTGCTTTTTAATTGGATCGTGGAGTTGCTCAATACAAATAAGAAAGTATTATTTTAAAAATAATTTATTTTCAGAACTAAGTGGAGTTACTTGAGCACATAATCAGATGAGTATGATATAGAGATGATGTATCTCTATTAACACTTTAGCAAAGGAGGGCTGTGAGCTGGTGCAGCAGGTTTTGAGAATTTTTCTGAAGTTGTACACCAAAGGATAGGAATGTTTATTTTTAATTTTCCACTTCAGTGTCATCTGTGCCAGGCAGCAGCAGCACAACCCTGTGTACAGTGAGCAGACAGGTGCAGAAGGACGGTGACTGTGTACTTTTCTAGGTTAAATCCTATTGTATTTACAGTCTAAGGCACCATTGGTCTAAGGACTTTAATCTCATAAATCAACTCTGTTTTGTTCAAATACCTCTAAACCCACTCAGTTTATCTCATAACTTTGCTGCGTTTCACCTGTTGAAATGCAGCCCTTAGGTTTGGATTGATTGCCTGTAAAGCATGAGAACAACCTGGGAATTTTGCCTTCCTACTGGGAGAGCATAAGCTGGTTTATACAGGGAAAACTCGGAATTCACACAAACCAATTTCTGCCGTGCTGAATTTTGCATCCAACAGTCAGGTCAAGCTACAGAGGTTTGATAAACCCCCAGCTGATAATGGTGTGCTGTTACTGGGCTTTCAGCAGCTTCGTGCTTTCCTTCATGTATCTTAGGCATTTAATAACCCCTTCATTTTTTTTCCCCAGCTCTATTTTGAAGATGAAGAAAGAGAAGAAATGTATGAGGTGAACCCAGAACACACATTGCTACAAGTGCTGCAGCACAAAAGGTGAGGCTGTACCTGTCCATGTCCAGGGGGAAAAAAAGTATGGGCTTTAAAAGTTTGTTTTTAAATAACTCTTCTCTAACTTTATAGTCCTGCCTCTTGAAGGTATAAAGCTGCATGGATTTTGTGCCCAGCTTTAGTGACTTACATTTGTTTTCCTCCAAAAAATGAACAACTCTTTCCAGGACTGGATGGAAATGGGTAAGGGAGTTGGGCACAGCTGAGCAGCACAGAAGAGTTATTGCAGATCCCATCTACACAATACTACTTTAAAAAAAAAAAAAAGAAGAAGGAAACCATGCAGCAGCCTCTAAAGAGCATGTTGAAGGTTAACAATGCCCTTGCTGTTCATGCTGCTGCGTGAGCAGCCCTTGGCGCAGTGTGCAGCTCTGTTCTGCTCTGAAACTGCCTTTAAAGAGTTGTGCTGTTATTGAGAGAGAAGAATTTGCTGTTTGTGAAGCCAAAAAGTTCCTGTGCAGCCTGTGCTGCTGAGTTGCAGCGTCTCATAGCCGGCTGGAGCCGCTGCACAGCGCGGGGGGCTCGGTCTGAGCAGTGGGAGCGGGATCTCCGTCACCCCATAAAACTCAGCAGTGTCCATAGGCCCTCAGATTTCAGGCTGTAAGGGCTGTTGCAAAAGAACCCTCCTTCCAGAGGAAGAATAACAGCTGCCTTAATTAAAAGAAGCTGTTGGGAGAGGAGTTGATTCATAAAACACTCCTCCTCGGATGTGCTTAGCCCTGGCTCCAAGAGGCTCTGCTAATCAGCACAAAATCTCATCAGCAGCCTTTGGGAGGTCAGTCTTCATGGAGCTGGGCACGAGTCACTTGCTTTGCAGGACACTGGGCCAGCTACAAGGAAGCCAAGGACTCCTTTTAATCTTTGCAGGTATTTTGTAAAGGCCGGGACCCCAACAGTTTTGGTATTTGCCAAGCGTTCTCCTTTCTCTAAGAAATACTTCTCTGGCAAGAAAGTGCATCGACTGTAATGAGCAAGAAAGAAGCAAGGAACCCTGTGCAAGAGGCTGCTGTTTGTTAGCCCAGCTCCAGGCTGCAGACTTCTGCTTGAACAAAAATACTTTGCACTCTTCAGGGGAGGAAAATAATCTTGGCACACAGGGAAACTTCCAGGGGAGCAGCACAGGAGAAGGAAGGGCTAACATGAGGGGATTATTTGTTTAAAAGGGAACCCAGCTGGCTTGCAGAAGGTCTCCTCTATGATAGGCTGCATGTGGTTTTGAAATAAACCTGAAGCGGTGCCAAACGCTGGCTGTGGTTGCAGTAACAGCAGCTGGGGATGTTCTGCCTTACCTGAGAAAATCACAGATTTGCTCGGAGGTGGGCTGTGGCTGCTGGGGTTCAGCAGCAGTGGCCTGGGCAGTACCTGCCTGTTGCTGCAGGGTGGATGCAGTCAGGTTCCTGCCTGGGACTCAGCAGCTGCTGTTTTGTCACTGCTTGGCTGTGCTGCTGGCCAGGCTACAGCAGAGCTCTTTGTTTGGAGCAGTGTTTGACTGACCCTTTTGATACCTCACTGAATGTCCTACAGAGCCTGGAATAAACATGGCTATTTTAAGTAGACTGACTTCTGCCTAATGAATGAGACAACATTTTGTCTCACCTTGTGAAATACCAGAGAATGACAGACACTGATTGTAAACCCCAACACAACACCCTTGTCCATTACATTAACTGGTACAGCCAACACGCAGGGTCTTCTGTATTAGCGTTTGGCTTTTAATTAGAAGTAATTCTCAATCTCTCATTTCTTTCTCTTCTGCAGGAATACACTGCAGCTTTAGACACAGCCAATGCACAGGGCATTAGAAAGCTGTTCAGCCATAAAACACTCCTGCTTCCATCACAGAGCCTGGCTGCAGGCAGCTCTAGAGAAAACATTTCCATTTCGCTGTTCCTAAATTTCTGCAGCGCGCACAAACACAGCAAGAGTTATCTCCAACCGAGGATGCTGCAGTTTAATGTCCAAAGCTGGGGCTTGCTTTACAGTGAGGCAGGAGGAGGTGGGCACTGTGCAGCCGTCCCTGGCAGTGCCCTCGGAGGGCAGAGAGCTGGGCAGTGCCCTCAGAGGGCAGAGAGCTGGGCAGCCAGGTGCTGCAGGCTCAGCCCATTGCACACGATGCACAGGAGGTTGCAGAGGGAGGACAGAGCGTGGTGGAGGGCAAAGCTCCGGGCCAGCTGCCCGTGGCTGGGGCTGGGGACACGGAGCTGCCTGTGGGGCTCACTGGCTGCCAGCCCCAGCTCCTGCCCCAGCCCGTGGCTGCTCTCCACCAGCTGCAGCTCGGCCACAGCGTCGGAGGCGACCTGCCCGAACCACTGCGTGTTCAGCACGGAGGCGGCGATGCAGACGAGGAAGATGATGGTCTGCAGGGAGTGAAGCCCACCATGAGCACCTCACTCTCCCCCAGGCCCCCTGGCTCACTGCAATTTGGGTGCTTGTGGGTTTCTTTTAACCGTGCGTGGATCTCCCTGGTCTGCAAGGCAGCCAGAGGAGCAGAGGAAGGGGTTTGGGCTTTGGCCAGCCCGTGTGAGGAAGGGGGAGGCTACCTGGGACATGTGCTCCTTGCTGAGCCTCTCGCTGGGGTGGGACATGGCAAACAGGGTCAGGTTGAGGAAGGCACAGGTGGAGCTGATGTGGAAGTAGTAGGGGAAGAGCTCCCGCTGGATGGAGCCGAAGGTGTGGCGAGGGAGGTGCCTGCTCATCACAAACCCTGCCAGGGGGAGAGCAGGTCAGTCCTGGGGCAAAGCCCCCTCCCCTGTGCCACCCCCCTGGGCACAGAGCACAGCACAGCCCAACCTACCGGCCACGAAGGTCACCCAGACCTGCATCCCCCAGGAGGTGGACAGGAAAAGCAGGTGCAGCAGTTTGATGGTGTTGGAGGGCTCCGTGTCACTTGCCATGGCGTCCTGGATGGGGACAGGTCCCTTCATGTCAGCCGGGTCACCCCGAATTCGGCGCTGAGCTGTGGCTGCTGCTGTCACCTTGCTGCTGTCACCTTGCTGCTGGTGGGGCAAATGCAGTTCAGGTTCACAAAGCTGCTTACTCGGGAGAAGCTCTGGAGCTGGCACAGCCCCGTTCCAGCCTCACCACTGCACACCCGACCGGGCTGCAAACCCGCTGGTCAATCCCCTCTGTCTCAGGGCAGGGCTCTGCGTCAGCACCTGGGAACCAGATGGTTGGGGTGGACTTTTGGCAAAGTCCAGCCAGCGCCCCACTGACCCCTGGCAGCAGGAACAAGCAATAAGTCAATAAAAAGGGGAAGAGAAAAGCTGTGACAAATTCACCTGCCCACGCTGTGGCCATCAAAGAGGCCTCTTGGCCAGGGGGAAACCCTCTTGGTTAAAAACAATATCAGCTTTTGCACTGTTTAACCAAAAGCCTGGAGCCTCAAAGGAGCAGGGGGGCTCCGGGCTCTGCTGCCCCAGACCCTGCACAAGAGCTCGGGCAGTGGGTGGAAGGAGGCTTTGAAGGAGCTGCCTGATCCACTGCAAGGAGCGCTCTGAAAATTAATTAAAACAAAGCTTCTGGGAGTAGCCCATCAATACTGCTGCCTGCAGAATTCCTCCTCCTCCTCCTCCCCTCGGCTGGTTGCCTCGGGGCATGAATTACAGCGGGGCTGGCCTTGAGAGAGACACTGCTGTCTAATTCTATCCCACTCCGGCAAAGCAGATAAATATGCCCTGTATTGTGATATATTAGCTCCATGTATTTATTTAGGCATCCATAAAATCAGGTCCTTAAACCTTCTCATGATGGCAGCACACCGGAGAAGGTTCTCACATCCAGCTTTGAGTGCTGGCCTGTAAACCCCCAGCTGTATTCATGGCCTTTTCCAAAAGCTTCTTGGTGTTTTGGAGATTTTTCCATCCTCCAGCAGCCCTGGATGGCAGGGGCCCAGGGAAGACAGCCGTGGTTCTTAGGTGGGGCTTTGTTCCCTGCATCACCCCGGGCTGGAAGGCAGTGGTGGCTCTGCCAGCAGCCAGCACAGATCCCTGCTGCTCCCAAGGTCCCAGATCTGCCTCTCCAAATGTTTTGCCTCCATGCAGGAATCAGCAGCAGAGAGCTCCAAGGTGTTTTCTTGCAAAGCTGCAGGCTGGAAGGTTGCTCAGAGCAGGGGGTAACACCCTTTTTTTAAAAGAGATTAAGAAAAATGGTAATTGATTGCTGAATTGGTCCTAGAGTCAAAGAAAGGGCTCTGGGAAAGGCTGGTAGGAACCAGCAGGTCCCTCCTTCTCTGTGGGATGAGGCAGTGGATGCTCCAAGCTGCCCAGTCCTGCTGCCCATGCCCCCCAGGGCCAGCAGCTGCTCTAGGGCTGCAGTTTTCTTCCAGAAGCACAAAGCACACCAGGCTCTGCCTGCCCCCAGGTCACTCCTGCTCCATCACCCTGCATCCCCAGGGACACAGCCAGGCTGGAGCCAGGGCTGGCCGGGGCCTCCCAGCAGGAAAAAGCACAATACTTGAGCAGGAGAGGTCAGTTAAAGTTTAATGTTCAGGCAAATACATCATCCCCTCCACTTAATCAAGCAGCAGCAATTCCTAAGGTAAGTAGAAAGGATGGCTCCAAAAGATGGCTCTCATCCCAGTGATAAAAAGGCAGCATTGCTCTGAGTTTTGGGAGATAAGAGGGCTCTGTAAAAATTGAATGTTTTGGACTATGTACAGCCTAAAATGGCTTTATCTTTTGGAGGTCGGGGCCCAGCCGTGCCAGGTCTTGAGCTGAGATGTTTATGATGGGAGATAGAGCAGAGATTAGGGTTTATGGCCACAGCCAGCCCAGGGGTGGGAGCCACTTCTGCTTATAAATTGGATGGGGAATTTGGGTGGGTATTGCAGAGGGACACCTGGGGTCCTGGAAAAGATCCTGTGGTCATTTCTGGAACCCCATGGCCTCACCTCACCCCAAGGATGGCATTACCATTCCTTGCTCATGGTTAAGCTCTACAAAACCCATCCTTGGGGTTAAGCACGGGGCTCTGCAGGCAGAGGCAAGGGCACAGCTGGCACCTGTAAAAGCTGCTGTGCCCAAAGCTCTGCGTGCCTAAGGGCTTCCAGAAACCTCAATGCCATCAGAAAACCTCTGGCTGTGTGACCCAGGGAAGCCAAGGAGGGGGCTCTCCACAGGCCTGTGGCTGAGGGCAGATGTCCCCTGGGCTGTGCCTGATGAGTACCACTTCCACTGTCACCCCTGCTTCATTCTGGTGCCTTTCCCAGAGCATTGCAGATTTAGGGGAGCAAGGTTTGGCTCTGTCTTTTCCTTTTTCAGCACCTCTGAGGCAGTTTGGGGTTTATATGTCAAGGTGTTGGTGCACCCAGCAGAGGAGGACAAGGAGGGCAGTCCCAGACAGTCCCCAGAAGCCACTTGCATGGAACACCACCCCTTTCCTGCAGCACATTCCTGCCTCAAAGGACCCCACCTCCACCTGAGCCCTAGGTGACCTGGGGGTGCAGGATCCCTTCTCCAAGCTCACCACACGGCAAGCCCCCGGAGCAGACACACACCCAGAGTAGATATGGATGTTTGTCCTTTCAAAACACTTTTATTGCTGCTCCTTCCACAGCCCCATGGGGTGGGATTTCAGCCCAGGAGGAGCAGGGGCTGTTTGCCAGCCCTGCCCAGGAAAAGGAGCAGCACTGGGGAGAGTGGGATGTCCCACCAGCCACCCCTACACCAGGGAGGGGTACAGCACCCACCCTGCATCACTGCCCCCTTTCTCCCTTTGCTGCCTCAAAAGAAACCAGTGAGATGCCCAACTGAGAACTAGTGAAAAAAATAATCTGGTTTGGGAAGATTTTGGATCATATAAAGATTCAAGTAGCGTTAAGTGAACTGGAAAACCAAGTCCTGTACATCAGCTTATAAAAGTTCTAAATAAAATTTTAAAAAAGAAAGAAGAAAAGGTATGACACATTAGTGCAAGGGATGAGGTGGTAAAGTAATGCCCCTCCACCCCAACCCCTGGGACCAAAGCCCTCAGGGAGGCAGGGTCTGGGTGCCACCATGCCACATTCCCTTCCACCACAGAAGTGTCCCTCATCTGTCTGTCCATCTGTCAGCAGGGGACCATGGCTCTAGAAGTCCTGCAGCCGTGAGATCAGGTCCTCCTTATTCTTCAGCAGGAACTTCTCACAGGCTTCGAAGGTGGAGCAGATGTCGGAGGACAGTCCCGCCACGTTGGTGGTGACGTAGGTGAGGTACCCCGGCATAGCCTGGTTGTAATAAGCCACCTGCGAGGCACAGCACAAGGTCAGCAGGGGCACAGGGGAGGGAGGAGCCTCCCCCATGGGCTGTGGGATCACAGCCACAGCATCCCACCTTGCTCATCTCCTCTGACTCTGGCCAAATGCAGAACCCGGAGCAGAGCGTCTCCCCGCGCGTGAACTCGTCTCTGGCAGGGTGGGTGGGCAGCGTCACCGACCGAAAGGCCACCACGTAGGGGTCCCTGGGGACGGGAGAGCTGGGTGAGCTGGCACAGGGAGCAGGGAGCAGGGATGGCAGGGAGCAGGGCTCAGGCTGGGCACTCACCCCTTGCTGCAGGGCTTCCTCCGGGACGCCAGGATAACGAAGTCCTGCGGTTTGTTCTCGTTCCTCAGCTTCTGGCTCACCACGTGGTAGATCATGTCGTCGTCATCGACCTTCTGCACAAGCTCTGCACTCCTGTAAGGGAAGGGGACTGGTCACAGGGACCCTGCTGTGCCCCTGAATCTGGGCCTTAGACATTTACACCCCACCACCAGACCCAAAATATTTGGGGGGACCCTAAACAGATGTTTGCCCCAGCAAAGCGCAGCCATCAGCCCAGACGGAGCCAGGACCCCACACACATTGAGGGGTCTCTAGGAGCAAGCAAGGCAACACACTGGCTCCAAGATGCTGAACCACAAGGCTTGAACGTGGGGGAGTGATTTTTGGGGAGGCCTGCAGCACTCACACGTAGTGGCTGTCCCACTCGTGCCGGCGCCGCAGGTTGGAGAGCAGGGAGAAGGCTCGGCTGGCCGGGATGCAGACGGACATCTCGATGCGGAAGGACAGGAACTTGTCCTCCTCCAGCGTGTACATCCTCACCTGGGGCAGCACAGGGCACAGCTGGGACCTGTTCCCACTGGGATTGCCCGTGCTTTGGGGCTGAGGGAGAGGGGACAGCTACCCTCTCCTTTTCTTTAAGTACCTTTTCCTTTTCTCTGGCGAGCGCCCAGTTCGCTTTGGCCACGAGCATCTTCAGCGCAGAGACGTTGTTGTAGCTCAGATAAACCTGGGGCAGGGGCAGCATGTCAGGGGCAGGAGGAGGAGGAGCAGGAGGCAGCAGCTCCCACGGGGGATGATCCTACCTTGTTGCTTTGGTCCCAGGGCACGGAGAGCGGCACCTCAGTCTGTTTGCAGGAGACGACGTATTTTCTGCAGCAAAGGAACAGCTTCCCTTATGAGGGGACACAAACCACCCCCAGACTGTCCCTGCCCCCCAGTGCTGAGCCCCCCTTTCCTCCTGCCTCCATCCCCACATCCCACTCGTTGTGCTGCTCACCGGTCCAGCCGAATTTTTTTCCTAGCACTGGCTTCTCTGTATCTCCTTTCTCCATCCTGATAAATGGGAAAAGGCAATTAAGTTAATAGGAAAATGATGGAAAAAAAAAAAAACACTCCTTTTTGGGAGCAGGAAAAACATTCAGCAGGGAAGGGCTGGAAGGTGAAGCCCCCTTGCTTGCCAGCTGCCACCCTGGCCACACTGCAGTGATGGTCAGTGATTAATTGTGAGTTATTTCAGCATTGCCACCATGCTCTGATCAAGTGATGAGCACTGGCACATTAGGGAAAACCCTTGTGGCTGCAAACCTGAACAAAGCCCCTGAAACAAAAATGGTGTACCCTAGCACCTGCAAATGTCCTCTCCTGGGAAAATAAAATTTTAAAAAAAGCAGCTTATTTTTAATAAAGTGCTAGTGTGGTGTTTTAAATGGGTGAGAGGAGGTTTCAGGGGGCCTGACTTTGGCCATGAGATGATCTCCATCAGAGTGGGAGATCCTGGTTTTAAGGCATCAAAAAAAATCAGGGAGCTGGACAAGGATCAGCCCAGGAGAAGCTGAGACACATGAGTGTTTGCCTTGCTACTGTGCTCATGCGACAGACTTCCCTAAATATTTGGATGCCAGCAAATTATGGATTAGGATGCTTTGAAAGGTACAAAACAACCTCAATGTTCCTTCCCCTAAATTATAGAAAAGATGAGCTGGAATGTGCAGGCAATACTCTGCTAAGCCTTGCATGGCTAACACGTCTGGTTTATTTTATTAGTTATCCTGAACAATCACTTTAATTCATTTGCTATTGAGCAATTTCACTCCCATCATCACAAAACTCATTTGTTTTGCTGCAAATCCAAGAGCTGGGGGCCGAGTGGGATTCCTGGGGGTCCCGTGCCACCAGGCTGGGCAGACACCAGCGCTGCTGGTCCTTACCCCTGGCTCGGGTGCCACCATGGGCAGCGTGCGGGGATGTCCCTCCTGGTCCAGCACCACGAAGGTCATGAAGGCGCTGTTGATGTGCCGGCGGCTGACGGACATCTCCTGGCCGTAGGCCTCGGCGCTGACCCCCACCTCCATGCTGCCAGAAAGAAGGGATGAGGGAGCAGAGGGCCGTGGGGAGGGCAGGAAGGGCACCCCCACCCTGCCCCCCACCTGTTTTTGAAGGCGTTGTTGACGATGGCTTTGAGCACCAGGCGGTCTCCAACTTGCGACGGTCCCCGAAAGTGGAACATCTCGATGGCCCTCAGCGTGGGGTGAGCGTGGCACAGCCGGCTGTGGGGACATGTGTTACCCCCCCCACATCATGGCAGCCCCGTGTACCCACCCCGACCCAGCCAGAGACAAGGAGACCCCAAAAAATGTCACCCCTAAATCCCAATGGCCAAACCAGCCGTGGGAAGGAGCGATGAGCCAATTGCAGGGAGTGTGAACCTCTCCCTGGTGTCCCTCAGCGCCGCACACCTGTGGGACTCCCCATGCAGTGTCACCCAAGAGTGACATGCTGGGCACCATCCCTTTGGAGGGTCCCTGCAGTCCAGCTGTGGCCAGACCCAGCCACGTGTGTCCCCTCCAGGCATGTCACTCCCTGACCCCCAACCCCCTTGTCGGGTCACCTGGCTGCGATGGTGGCCACGTTCTCCATCCAGGCCATGATCTGCCCACCAAAGGTGTTGCCCTGGTGGTTGGCGTGTGGAGGCAGCACCAGCTCCACACTCTCCACCCGCGTCCGTTCCGCCGGCACCGCCCCGCTGCCGTCCCGTGTCTCCAGCTCTGCCACAGGGGATAACGGGGTTCAGTGAGTTGTATGGCCACTAGGACCACTTGCCCAGCACCCCACCAGCCCTCGTTCCTCTCCCCACAGCTGCCCTCCCTTTGGGCATCAACAGCCCAAATCTCCAGGCCTGGGAGTCTGGGATGGTGGGGCTGATCCCTACCCCGCCGTAGCCAGGGCATTCCCAAACTCCATGTGGTGATCACCACCAGCATCCTGCTGAGGAAGTGGGATGTCCCCAGCTGTGTCAGGGCTGTTTGGAAGCCCAGGCTGGGGGGCACGGTACCGGTTTCCCGGGGGCTGCTGGTGAGAAGGTCCTTGAGGGTGTCCTTGTGGACCAGGCGCATGCGGCGGCGCTCGGCGGCGATGCTGTACTCGATCTTCTCCTCCTCCGTCTGCGGGGTCAGCGGCTTCAGCCGCACCTGCAGAGGGACAGGCAGGGTGCAGACCCGCTGGGGGATGAGCACAGCAGCGAGAAGATGCCCTCCATGCCCAGTGTGGGGCCAAGAGCCACCCAGCGTGCGTCCCCCAAGCACAGGACAGGGTGAGAACAGCACTTGCTGTGATGGAAAGCTGAGCCCAGCCCAACCTCACAGAGGCCATTTCCTCACTGCCTCTGTGTAGAGTCCCCCTGGCCACCAGCCACTGCTCACCTTGCTGCCCAAGGGGCCCTGTGCCACGAAGGTGGCGTACGCCTTGCAGATGCTGCAGTGCTTCCCGCTGCACAGGTCCTCGTAGCTCACCTGGATGCCCACCTGGGAGAGGGCACAGCACCCCTGAGAGCTCTGCTCCCCAGGGACCCACGTCCCACCACACGGCCCCGCCCAGAGCCAACCAAAAACGATGAACACAAGGGATTAAAGCTGGGAATTGAGGGAGGATTTGGGGATTTGGCCACGTGGCTGTGGGGACAGGGGCAGGGGAACACACCAACCTCCATGCTGGAGTTAAAGGCTCGGTTCACTTTGGCTTTGATGTTGACAACTTGCCCGACACTGAAAAACAGGAAGAGGAGAAAGCATGTGGGGTTACTGGGGGACAACAGCAACCAAGCTGCTCCCTCTGAGGTGCCACGGCATTCCAGCTCACTGCCCGCTGTGGTGAGGCTTCCTGGGACTGTGGGACACGCCAGATGGCCAGCAGGACACGGGGACAGCCACCCCCGAGACGTGAGAGCAGTGAGATGTCACCCCTGAGCAGCTGTGTGCCAGTGGGTCCCCAGGTCTGGGGTGCTGCCAGGACACCCGAGGGGGGCAGAGGTGCCCAAGGCTTGCTTGGCACCCCTGCCTGTGTGGGCATGCACGTTCCTGCCAGAGCAAACGGCTCCTCCAGCCTTGCATCCACTGTCCTGCACAACTGGACCAGCCACAGGGCCTCCCCACAAACAATGGATACCTTGGGGTGCTGGGAGATGGCAGGAGGCAGGGCCCAGCCAGGGGCATTTTGCACCATCTCTTAAATGAAACATCTGCTGGCAGCAAACTGCTGCTCTCCTGTGTGCCTTCAGCAGGTTTCAGAGTACACACACAGGCAACTCTGGCCCTGCAGCCTGAGCCACTGCAGCCTGGTACCCATGGAATAGCAAATTCAACTTTTTAGTGGCACCGACAGCAGCCTTTACCAAACACATTTTTAAATCAGGAATACTCCTCATTCCCCAAAAGAGGCCGGTGCTAGAAAGCTCAGTGGAAAAATAAACCCTGCAACCAGCACTTCTCAAAACCAGAAGAGAGAGAGTGTGCTTTGACACCAGATATTCATTCCCCCGTGCCCTCACACAGGACTTCAGGCTCCGAACGAGCTCTGTAAATGACACTCTGCACGTTGGCTCTGGCTGCAGCAGGAGTGGCAGGAGCTGCTGCCTCTGGCTGTCCCCCAGCACGGACCCCGGGCTGGTGAGGTGCCAAAAGGTTAGCAGGGTTAGGTGAGCAGCTCTGTTCACATGCCATGCCTCGTCAGTGGGGTTAAGGCTCCCAACTCACGGCAGCACTGTGCTAGGCTGGCTGCTCTAGGGCCAAACACGTCCGTACCCGACACCGCTCCTCCCGTCCCGCTGCCCAGCGGGGCTTACAGGCGGCTGGCTGGGGCAAAAAGAGAAAGCAAATGTGGGGAGAGGGTTAGAGGCAATGGAAGCAGCCAGATGGATGCTCTGGATGGGCTTGTGGCGAGGGGCATGCAAGGGCAAGGGGCCAGGCAGGCAGACTGGCAGCCCCACGTGTCTATATATAGCCCCAAAAACACTTTATCTTCTCTGTCCTTATCAAACAACAGGAGCCAGTGCCATAACTGCTGCACAAAGCCCCACTCAAGGTACGTGTGATCCTCCCTGAGGCTGCACTTCCACACTGCAGGGCGGAGGGGTGGGGACAATCTGCTGCCCAGACAGTGAGTTTTAAGCCAGTGAAAATTTGGGGTCTCCTCCGTGCCCTCAAGCACCCACAGCTCCTCCCTGCCTCTCCCCAGCAGCACAAGGGCGGCAGAAGGCACAAACAGCCAGGCAAGGAGATCTGACACAAAGCTCCTCCACCTTCCAACAGCTCTGCAGGAAATCCCTGCCTGGCCCCTTGCTCGGAGCCTTAAGCTGGACCACAGCAAGTGGGATCTGAGCCAGGAGCAGCACAAATTCCCTGCCCCCTTGGAGCAGTGCCCAGCTCACTCCTGAGGAGGCACAAACGCTTTGCAGGGCTTGATGTAATGCTGTGGAGTGGGCTTGGGGCTGTTCTTCCCTGCTCCTGAAACCCATGGGGAAAAGTTGCCCCAGGAGCAGAGTATGAACCCCAGTGGTGCCACCTCTGCCAGCAGGAGGTGGCACCATGGCTGCACCACATCCCCACACTGTGGGTTTCTCACGGAGATGGGCACCTCATGTTGTGGGAGGGCAAAAGTGTGAGTTCAGCATGTCCTGGGAATGGCAGTAAAACCCAAGAGTGAGTCAGACTTCTCAGTGCCAAACAAATCAGCTGACAGCCAGAGACCCCAGTGCCAACCTGGGTACCCAAACTGGTGCTGCTCCAGCAGGCAGACCTGTGCAGCTGGGAGTGGCTGGGCAGTATGGATCCTATACTGCATGGACCCTATATGGCAAGGCAGGAACTGCTGGGCAGCATGGATCCTGCATTGCAAAGATCCTATATTGAATGGCAAACCCCCAGGGAGACCCCTGGCAGTGTATCCAGGTGGGAACAGACAGGCACAGGGGGTGTGGGGGCTCTGAGAGATGAGTAAAGGTGTGTGTGGCAGTACCTGGGCTTGCTGGGGGTACAAAAGGAGGAGAATGCTTAAGGATGTTGGGTGGGAATGGTCTCAGTACTGGGAGCCTGTGGAAGACTGAGAGGGTTTTTGTCCCCTCAGGTCAGGAGAAACATTGTCCCCTGAAACATGACATCCCAATGGCTGCATGAATCAGAGGGGGCAGCTCTGTGGGGCAGCACCCAGGGGATGCCAGGACCAGCCCGGGATGGAATTGTGACAGGGCAATGCCCAGCCTGAGCGCCCGCTGGGTGGGTGAGCCCCACCACGCCTCTGCCACCCACACGGCCGCTCCAGAGGCACGATCTGCAAGATTCCAGCTTTCCAGAGCACTAAATCAGAGCTGCTTCCTGAACAAAGCCAGGGAGGAGCTGGCGTTGGGGGAAATCCCGGGAAGCCAAGGCAGCAGGAGCGGATAAATCAGAGCAGATTGTCCGCAGCCCTGCGGGGACACCGAGCCTCAGTCCCTGGCTGCCCTGTGAGCCTGGCACTGCCACCACACCTCCTCCTCTCCCAGGAAGAGAGAGCTGCTCCCCACTCCAGCCCCAGCCCACGCTGCAGCCGGCAGATGGGAAAAACCCCTGCGTGTCCCTGCCGAGTATTTACCTAATGGTGTGCTCAAAGTAGATGTCATCCATGGAAGCTGTGACACACGGGCAGCCGGCGTGTCTCTCGGCTGGAAAGGAGAAACAAACTGCATCAGCAACTGCAGCAACGTGCTGAGGGTGTGAGGGCCACCAGTGACACCCAGCCAGCATCCCTTTCCCTGCTGATGCCCATTGCTGAGCTTGCAGCGGACCAGAGTGAGATTTGGGGCTTCTCCACCCACAGCAGCACAGGTTTGGGTGTTTAAAGGTTTGGAGGGTGTGCTGGGATTTGCCTTCCTTCTGTGAGTTTGTAGCTGTGGAGATGCACCAGCAGCTGATTCCATCTCCCCATAAACAGCGAATATTTCAAAGCTGCTCTGCCGGCGCAGCTTTCCCTTGGGACTCCAGGAACCTCAGACTGCAAAACTGCTCTGGGAACCTTATCCAACTGCAGAATTGCATCCATTTCCCTGTCAAAACCTCCCCATGCTTGGCTAAACTGGCGAGCTCCATTGCTTCCTGCTGAGTGGAGGAGCTCAGCCCACTCTGGCTGCTGCTGGTACGCCAGGGATGCCACCAGCCTGCTCAGGAGGCAAGGAAAAGGGCAGCATCATAGAGGAAGCAGGCACGGATTTTGATCTGTCCCCAAACCAGCACGAATGCTGCAGTGCACGTCTCCTCCCCTTCTTGTCCTGCTCCTGTTTGCTCTCTAATTACTCAGCAAAACGGAGTGACGTGGGTCCCCAGCTGGCGTCACTCCCACTGCCAGGGATGCTGCTGATGAGCTGGCTCCTGTGGATCTGCCTGGTGCCTTCCCTGGCAGCCCAGCAGGACGAGGGCTCCAGAGGGAGAGGATGGCTCACCGGAGAGGCAGGCGGCCGTGTCCATCCACTTGAGCAGCTGGCCAGTGCTGAGCTCGCCGCGGTGGTTGGTGTGGCAGGGCAGCACCAGCTGGCTCATCTGCACCTCGGTGGGGTTGTGGGCAGCTGAGGGGTTCGCCATGGCCCCCAGAGCCTCCTCCTGCTCCCCTGGCTCCCGGGCACGGGGTGGAGAGGTTGAGCCCTGTGGGGCACAAAAGCACCGTTTCACCCAAATGGGAAGCAAATCTCCTGAGAGAACGGGAACCCCACACAGAGCTGGGAGAACTTCAGCCCTGCACACCCCTGGACAACACCAAACCCACCCAGCCCTTGCCAAAGACAAGGTGTCCGCAGCCAAAAGGGAAAGGATCCCTCTAAAAAAGGGATTACTCCAGGTTTTCAGGCTATTTATCACCTAATCCTACTGCTCCCTCCCAAAAACCACAAAAACTCCTCCCAAAGTTAATCACTCTTCTGAGAAATAATTTTTCTCCTTGACAGCTTAATTTTTAGGGTGCTGCAGCACAGGGTGGGGTTGCTGTCATGGGGCTGGACAGTGCTCCACACCTTCCACCAACACCCCCCCTTCACCAAAGGAAGCACTGGAAGCCATGTGGTACAGGCAGCAGAGGAGGAGCATCCTCAGTTTGGGGTTGTTTGGGCAGTAAAATGTGTTTCCTTGCTGGCTTGTCCATTTGCTGGGCACAGAGCAGCTCCCCTGGCACCCCAGGGGGAAGCAGGGTGGGAGAGAGAGGAGGCTGAGGTGGTGCTGGCAGGGAAAAATAGCTGATGAGAGATGTCAAGCGAGTCGTGTTACACAAAGGGTGAACTCAGTTAGCCTGGTGAGTAACTGAGGAGACACGAGGATCTGTCTGGGCTTTGTCAGAGCCCTTCCTTCTGCTTTCTGCTCCCACTGCAACTCCTGCTCTCAGCACTTGTTGCAGGAGTCCCACTGCAGCAGCTTCCCTGCCCTTTGCTCTGCCTGCATTCTTTAAAGATGGGGTTATGCTGAAAACGAAGCTTTCCCGACTACCCTGAGCTCACTGCCTCTCAGAATAGCATTTTTCTCCAGCGGGTCTAACCTCTGTTTCCATAGCTACTGGTACACGACATCCCGGGAGCGGCACAAACGTCGCTCAGCAGAGACGGCAGCGATGGCACCGATGGCAAATCTCCCCCATCCCACAGTGACACCGAGCCCCGGCCACCAGAGCCCCTCCAGAAGCCTCCAAACCCCTGTGTGAACCTCCTGGGCTGCTTCCCAGCACATAGAAGCGCCTCCACAAGTAGCAGGGAGCTATTTTGGGAAGGCAGCAGGCTCTGGGGTATGAGGCAGCAATGCAAAGAGCTCCAAAGCTCCACGCCTGCTGCAGCGTGAGCAGAATGCCCAGCCTGGGATGCCACCGGTCATTTTCCCCACGTTGGACAGGTCTGATTTCAGGGAAGAAGCTGCTGGCTGTGCTGTCCCTGGGTACCCTGCTGTGGCCAGCATGAGCTCAGGGAGGCTGATGGGGAGGGAATGTGCTGGGAGAGGATGCAGCCAGGTTTGGTGCAGCTCCTGGCACAGGGTGGCACCAGCACAGCCCGGGTTAGTAGCCGGCGGCACAAAGGGGTTAGTTGCACGGCACAAAGAGTACCTGGAGGCCATTGCAACAGAAGCTCAAGATGTCTTCAGAGACTATAATATTCCCCTTGACCATTTTTAAGAGACACCTGGAAAGGAGCAGAGTGGCTCTGGTTACGGCAGGACCGGCAGAGACGGGGGCGGCTGTTTCCCAGCGGGAACGAGGCAGTGAATGTGGTGGGTTGTCACACCCTGTCCCCACATCCCATGCTGACATCCCTCCCACACCACTGACCCCTCACCAACACCTATCAGAGCTGAAAGGGAGAAGGGCAGACCTGGGGCAGGTGCCTGCCATTCCATGGGGGTCAGGTGCCACGCTCACCCGCCCGGATGAAAGAGTCCCAGCTATTCTGGGGAGCTGGACCAAGGACACGTTGCAGGGCCATGGCTAACTCCTCAGGCAGTGGTGCTGTGTCAGTGTTGCTGCATGTGACAGAGGACTGTGCCTCGAAGCTCCCCTGGCCGGAGCCGTGACACCGCTGCAGTCACAAGACACCGGGAGCGTATTTTTGGCAGCAGGCAGGGCTGAGGCTGCCGTGGGTGGTACTGGGGGCAGCAAATGGGAAGCACCCGACTCCAGCAGTGCTGCTGTGCCCTGCTCCAGTCCCTCTGCCTGCCAAGCCCTGGCATTCCACAAGGGCATTGTGTGTCCTTGGGTGCCCACGAGCACGGTGACTGTGTCCAAGCTGGACGTTGTGGTGGCATTGCAAGGAAAGGCAGTGTGGGAGCTGCAGTAAAAAAAAGTGGAAGAGGCTTCATATTTACAGTTTGCTTTTAAACACAACACTGCCAGGCCCTTGGCATACCCCCAGCTTCCCAGCACACATCCCTCTCCCATGCAGCTGAAACCAGGCTGGAGGCAGCAGCTCTTTTCCCAATATATGGGATTGACTGATTTTGGCAAGAGGTTAAAAAAGTGGAAGCTGTAGATTTGCTTCCTGCACCATCAGGAGCTGGGCTATCACACAGAGTGCACCCAATGTGGTCAGGACAAAACAAGACACAAACAGGAGCCTCTCGCAGCCTCCCACCCCTGCCCCAGCAGCACCAGGTTTTGCTTTCCACAGCCCCACGACCTTTTCCCCAGCCCTGTGACCTCTCCAGGTGTGTTATTGAGGTTTGGGAGCTTCCTGATGGCTCAGCTGCCCTTGCAAGAGCCGGTGCAAGAGTTACTGTCCTGTTTAACAAGATGGGTTTGCTGCCCAATTGCGGGCACAAGGCGTGGTGGTGGCTGGGGGTGGTCCTGTTACACCCCACAGCCCCAGCCAACAGCTCCAGAGGGACATTCCTTGGAAACCCAAACCTGCTGCTGGCTCGGCAATCGTGTCACCTTGTCCCCTGGGTTGCATTAGCAGGAGGGGGAAAAATACCCAGAGGTGTCTGTTTTGCATCATCCCTCTGCTATTTTCCTGGCAGCCCCAGCCCACGCTCCCAGCCTGGGGAAGGGGAGCGCCCCGAGACCCGGAATCACCCAGCCAGTGGGCATTTATGGAGTATTTGTTATCCAAACCAAGCCAGCAAGTGTCTGTCCTCATTAAAATCTTCAGCCTCACTCAACTGTCACATTTTTAAAGCTGTTGACTGAGGCAGCCCTCGGATCACCATGGCAACGGGATGCAGTACCCAGGCGATGATGCTCTTACTCTGTCACCCCTCGAGTGACCCACTTCTACCCAAAAAAAAAAAGAAAAAAAAAGTTTGCATTAGAAAAAAAAAAAATTCATTCCAGCAGAATATTTTTCTTGCCTCCTGCCACGCTCACTTCCTGTGAGGAGCCCACAGAGCAAGGCAGGGAAGACACAGAGAGGAAAACACACCAACAACCCTGCAAATACTGGGGAGAGGGACCCCACAGCTCTCCAATACCCTGGCAGAGGGGTGTCCAACAGCAGCAAAACACCCACATGCTCCAGGGAATGCTTCTGCTGTGAAATTCAGCACAACCTCCTCAGAAATCACCAGGGGACCACCACTGTGCACAAGCCCCCATTGCAAACCCTCGTGGGTGCCACAGCTCCCTGGGGTGATGCTGGGCAGAGATGCAGGAGAACAGTTGTTCCCCCAAATCCTTGAGCCCACTGACAGCAGGGTGTTTGCTTCTGCCACCCCCAAGACAGTGGATGAGAGGGAGAGACAAGGGTGAAACTGGGGTGGAGGTCCCAAGTGCTGGGCTTTGGGAGGGTCTGGGCAGAGCAGGGCAGCCTCACACCTTGAGCCAGCCCAAGCTGCCCTCAGAGCTCTCTCCACCACCCCACTGCCACCTCTCAAATACCTAATCCCCATTTTCCCTCGCCTGGCTCTGTCTCCTACACCCACCCCAGCCCCTCGGTGTAACCTGACCCCTCCCTGGAAATATTTAAAGAAAAAAAGGGGGGAGATGGTGGGGAAGAAAGCGGCGACGGTGAAGTTCTCATGGCAGATTATTGGTGTATAATTGAGCAATATCCATGGTAACAAGCAAATCTGTATGCATTAAAAAATTACCCTGACCTACTTTGGGAAATTCTGCCATCTCGACGGGGCAGTGAGGGCTGTCCATCCCCCGAGACCCGGCCTGCCAGTCCCACTGCCAGCAGTGACAAAGCCCTGGTGCAAGCAGCATTGGAGATGTCCAGCTCAGCTCAGCCCCATCACCCCGTGCCCATCAGGATGGAGCAGGGTCCCCAGCATGAGAGCTGCTGCTCAGGATGTGACCCCGCTGGGACAAGAGGGGCTGAACTGCCAGGTCACAGCATGGTGAGGAAACACAGCTCCCTGCAGTGGGGCTCAGTGAGACCTCAGGAGGGTGGCCAGCCCAGAAGGAAGGCCAGGACACACTGCAGTGGGTATTTTTGGGACCACACACCATGTTCCCTTAGAGTTCGTGGAGCAAAGTGAGGCATGGGGCCAGGAAAGTGCAAACCAAGGGTCAAAGGCAAGAGTGGGACACAGGAGGGCTCCTCCTACAAGGGGCTGATGGTTTTCCAGCCATGAGCCTCGGGAAAGCATCACTCAGTATGAGCACAGCGGGGACACCTCCAGCACCCTCACACCGCTCTCCACCACAGGGTGAAGCATCCCCAGCCCCACCATGCCCACAGCCCCATCCATACCCCTGCCCGAGTGCTCTTTGCAGCTCCCATCAGGCTCCCAGGAAGGCTGGTGCTGATTTGCCAGTTCAGGAGCGAAGTCCCCCAGGGAGTGTCCCGAGGGACAAAGGTCTGGCTCCAGGGCAGGGGGAGAACAGAGCCACATATCACCCCAGTATAGCTGTAAACGCCACCAGGCCCAACATTCACACACATGGGGACACCCAACAGCACCGCCCAGCCCAGGCACGTTTTCCCTGCCACCCAAGGCGTTCCCAGGGAGGAGACTGCCGTAACATCAACACCACCACGTTTCAGACCACCACAGCCAAGCCCACCAAGCTGGAAACCACCACAGTGGTGACCAAGCTGGTGCAAAGGTCTACACCCTGGTGGTCTTAACTGTGTGGTGTCCACAATGGGGGTCTCAGTTGTGCTGAGACCACCGAGTAGGAAACACCCAGGTGAGCACTGTGGTGATGTGGTGGTCCCCACCGTGGTAGTCACCATGGCCAAGACCACCTCATTTAGGGCTACTGGGGTGGAGACCACCACAGGATCGTGCCACCCACAGTGCCCCCACCAGCTCCAGCATATCACCCCTCTGCCCTCCCCACGCTGCCACCACAACTGAGACCACCGAGTAGGAAACACCCAGGTGAACACTGTGGTGATGTGGTCATGGTAGTCACCATGGCCAAGACCACCTCTTTTAGGGCTACTGGGGTGGAGACCACCACAGGATCGTGCCACCCACAGTGCCCCCACCAGCTCCAGCACATCACCCCTCTGCCCTCCATTCCCAGCAGCCCTGTGCCCATGCTTCCCAAACATCTGCCCCTACTTTTAAGCGACAAGAAGCTCAAGCCAAAGCCACCAGCACTCCTCCTGCCACACTCAGAAAGACCTGGGGGGGGTTTGGTGTTCCCAGCTGCAGCCGGAGGATGCCACGTCCCCACTCCGGAGCGGCAGCACGGCTCGCTACAAACCCCAAAGGCAAGAAAGCATCACCCGGCTGAGCAGGGGGGTCCCACGGGGCTTTCACCCCACATTTTCCGCCGGGAAGAGCCGCCGCTCCATTGCCGGGAGTGGAAGTCTGGCAGCAGCCTGGGGTTCCCACCGTGATCCCCCCGTGCCCAGCTGCCCCCAGCCCTCACCTCAGCCAGAAGAAGCTGAGCATTTGCGGGAGGTGTGGAGCGCCGGCGGCTCGGAGGAGAAGGTCCGGACACCTGCGGGTGCGGGTGTGGAGGCCGGGCTGGAGCGGAGCCCTGGGCCGGGGCCAGCGCACACCCCGGCCGCTTCCTCCAACGCCGGCATGCACAACTTCTCTTAAGGTAGCGCTGGGCAGATCTGCGGGCAGATTCCCCGACAGCCCGGGAAATAAATGGCCGAGGCTGTGGATACCCCCGGGAATGCGCCCGGCCGGCCGAGGAACCGGGAGAACGGCGGGAGGCACCGAGCGGCTCTGTGGCTGCTGCCCTCCATCCCCTCCCCAGCCCCCTCATCGTCCTTTCTGCCCCCACCACCTCAGCCACGGGCACTCAGTTCAACTTACCCGAAAACATCAGTATTTTCCTCAGAGCCGCAGCTACCCACGCCAAAAGCTCGACAAACTTCTCCAAAGCGAATCCATTCCACGCAGCTGCTCCCTGGCCCTGCTGCCTTTGAAGGATCTCTGACATAGCCACAAACCCCCTTTTTTTTCTTCTTTCTCTCTCTCATTTTCTTTGTCTTTTTCTTTTTTTCTTTGTCTTTTTCTTTTTTTCTTTGTCTTTTTCTTTTTTTCTTTGCCTTTTTCTTTTTTCTTTGCCTTTTTCTTTTTTTCTTTGTCTTTTTCTTTTTTTCTTTGTCTTTTTCTTTTTTTTTCTTTTTTAACAAGGAAATAAAACGCAAATTGCCATGTCGCCGCATAAATGGCTGTTTGGTTTAGTGGAGATGTTGTTCTATTTGTACTTGATTTACACACTTTTACAAGTCACTCTTGGTTATCAACCTACAAGGGTTTGATCAAAGATCTTGGCAGGCACTGGCAGCACAAGTATTGCCACTGGAAAGCCAGCAGAGAAATAATTAAGCAATTTCAACAGGAAATAAACAAATTTTTTTCTTTTGTTTTTTTTGGTAAATAATAACAAAGCACTGAAATAAGGCAAAAGCCCTTGCCTCAGCCACCTAAATTTTAGGCTGGTTGTGGCAAATGTTCATCAGAATCCTAGACACAGGCAGAGGGGAGGTGGGACACCAGGATACCTCTGCAAGGGCTGGGCTGGGCAGGGGTGGAGATGGGGCCCAGCTCAGGGTGATGAGCCCCTGAGGGGGTTTGGAGTCTTTGGGGGATGGAGGAAGGCAGCATTGCACCAGGTGATTGATCTGATTATGGGGATGGAGATTCTCTCTGGAAGAAGATTGTTGCCTGAGGACTTTAACCCCGCTGAGCATTGACTGCTCAGCTGCTTGGATAAAATCTGCATTCTTCATTCCAAGAGCAGGAGCAGAGAGGCCCTTCCACCCTGCAGAGCCCCTTCCATGTCTTGCAGGTGGTTTTGCACGCCCAGATTCGATTAAATTCCATCATTTCAGAAAACAACATTTCCTTTGGGACAGCAAATAAGATATTTCTCACCAGGATGGTTTCCTAACCACTTCCAGCAGCCCGGGTGCCCTGCAAACCAGATCACAGCGAGCATCCTCCAGAACATCTCCCCACCTTTAGCACGGAGGCCCCTGGCCAGGAAGATCTTCTGGGATCTCTCCCTTCCTCCTTAGGGCTGTTTGTTTCTGCAGCCGGAGATTAGGATCAAAAGGTTTGTGAAAACGATTCTTCCCACTCGCCAGAGTCAGAGGGAGCAGCACAATTAGAAACACTTCAGATGCTTGACCCACGCTCGAGCCTCCAAACAAAAGTTGCGAGGAGATTTTGATGTTTTCCAGGCCCAATTAGCATCTTGCTGTAATTCCCGAGCTTTTGGGCTGCCCCGGCCGCTCCAGCTCCCTCCTCCTGCTCCATCACCATATGCCCGTCTTTTACAGTTCTTTGGTGCGTGATGCTCAGAGAGTGGATAATTAGCTAAATGAATTAATTGACATTCATACTTGTAATTAGCAACCGGTTACAAGCAGCTATTCTCCTTGGGACAGCTACAATTTCTCGGGGACTGGTGTTAAAACACTGGAAAATCGTTGGGGGTAAATAAGGAGGGCTGTGAGTGCTGATGGTACCCGGGCTCTGCCGGGGCTGTAGGAGCCGCAGGACGGTGAACAAGCCCGTGCAAAAGCAGAGAGGGCTGTGGAACGTGCTGGATGTGCTGCTGGGGAGGAGGAGAACTTCCCAGCCTCGGAAGAAATCCTGGCCAGATGGGCGGCCTCCAGCCGGCAGCTCCCACCAGCTCCCGGCTAACCCTTTCCACCCCCACTAACCCCGGCAGCGGAGGCTGCTCGGGCAAAGCAATGGAAATTGGATGTCGTGAGTGTTAATTAAACCATTAATTACTGCTGAGAGGTTTGGGGGGGAAAAGTGACCTATTGGTTTTATCGCTTCTCGCAGTAGTTGGGAGGATGAAGTGCTCAGGGGTTTGGTAATGGGAGGTAGATCTTTGCTGAAATGTAGGTTTTGGCAGATTTTTAGGGGATGCTGGCGGTGGTGCTGATGCACCCACAGCTAATCCCAGCACCCTGTGAGTGGGACCTGCAGTAGTGACAGGGTGAGTGGAGGCTGAGCAGCTCTCCCGTACTGCTGGGAGAGACCACAGGGGCTTGGACAGGCTTTTAGGGTGTCCCAAACTGCAGGGATCCCACTCCCAGCCACGGGGTGCAGTCATCACCCACAAGCCCTGACAATCTGCACCCACAGCCTCTGGAGTCACAGCCCCTGAGAGGAGATGTGCAGGGACCCCACACCCCCAAAATGTAGCAGGGGTGGTTGAGCTGAAGGTCTCTTCTCCCTGGAAAAGGCCCCCCAAAACCTGGACACCGATGGGAAGAAGGGATGGCATCACACAGGCACCGTCATACAAACGGTTTATGGAAAAGAGGAGAAAAAGTGACACTAATGCACTTCATAAATCAAACTCTCACGTCTTGCTGCACCAGGAGCTCTGCAGCACCAGGGAGGAGAGCTGGGCTGGGGGTACAAAGGACACCAGGGAGGATGAGCCCTCCAACCACTCAGGGACCAGCACTGGGGTCACAGAGGAGTGGCAGAGGGTGACAGGACAGGGTGCTAAACTGGCACCCCACGAGCCTGGGGCTCCCTCAGAGAAGGGCTCTCCCACGGCTCCTGGCACAGGCTCAGGGCTGCATCACTCTGCCAGGAGTCCTGTTCTTGGCTCCTCCAAGCTATCAAAGCTTTAGATTTCTCTGGCAGCGCCTGGAGTTTAACTGCTGGGGAGAGGGACAAAAAAAAGTCACTCTCAGAAGAGAGGCAGTGGGAAAGGCTGGGCCAAGGAGCTGTCATGCCACCCCTTCAGCTACTACACACCCCAGTACATTCTCAAACACACTGCACAAGATAGCAGGGAGGCTAATTTTTCTTTAGCTGCAGGCAAAAATAAAAAAAAAATCAATTACAAGGTAACCTATTTTTCAACTCCTCCATTGGTATTTATTTAATTTCAAGGCCAGCTTGCCCACCCTGCCAGGGAGAGGATGAGGGCAGCTGTGTGCCACGGGGCTGAGCTCACTGTGAGGTTTAGTTTGGGTTTTATTGAGACACCAAAGCTCAGAGCAATCAGGGTTTGTTTGAACGGGACAGCGTGTGACATGGGGCACCCAGGCAGAGTCCAGCCCTGACGGGGATGGGGAGCACAAGGGGCTCCCTGGTGCTTGCAGGACAGCAGGAAAAGCCCAGGGAGAAGCACGACTTGCTGGAGGTGCTGGTGGCCCGTGTGGACAGGGACTGCAAGGAGGGTCCACAGGGACAGGAATAGCTCCAGGTGTCCACAAGAGCTGACAGAGTCACAGGGAATCAGTGGGGACAGGAGCACTCAGGGGGTACATGAGGACAGGGCCATCCCAGGACAGTCCATGAACACTTGGATATCCGGAGGGGTTACATGGACACAAAACACCCGTGGGCACATGAGGACAGGACACTGGGGGTACAGAGGGACAGAGACACTCATGGGGAGGGGGGCACAGGACTCAGGATTTCTGAATTCACAGGATTCCTGGACACAGGACATAGGATTTCGTGGGTACACGGGGACAGGGACCCCCCGGGGAACACACGGACATAGGGGGGACACAGTCACCCCGGGGAGACACTCGGACACGGGACACGGGGGTACACACGGACATGGGGGGGACACACGGACAAGGGGGAACACACGGCCACGGGGGGACACACGGACAAAGGACACACGGACACGGGGGAACACACGGCCACGGGGGGACACACGGCCACGGGGGTACACACGGACACGGGGGGACACACGGACACGGGGGGACACACGGACAAAGGACACGGGGGGACACACGGACACGGGGACACACGGTCACGGGACGCCCGCGGGTCCGCGCGGTACCGGCGCCGCCGCGCGCCGCCAGGGGGCGCCGTTGCTCCGAGCGGCGGCGCGCACCCCCCGCCGCCCCCCCCACCGCGGCCGCCCCGGCCCGGCCCAGAGCCGCGACCCGGAGCCGCGACCCGGCCCGCCCGTCCCCGCGGCCGGGGGCGGGCTCCGATGGGGGACGGCGCCCTCCGGTGCCCCCCGGTGCCCTCCGGTGCCCCCCGGGCCCCCACGGAGCGGGGAGGGCGGCGGGGAAGGAAGGGGGGCTGTGAGGAGGAGGGGGCGGGGCGGAGCGCGGCTCCGCCAATCAGCGCGCGGCGGTTTCAAGAAGCCCCTTCCGCGCCCCGCCCCGCCCGCGCGGCGCCGCGCGGCCCCGGGGGGGACCGGCCTGAGGGGGAAGGGACCGGGCCGGGACCGGGACATGGCCCCGCCGCCCACCCTCCTGCCCACCCTCCTGCCGGCCTTCCCGCAGCCCTCCGGGAGGGCATCGCACCCACGCGTGCCCGCGGCCGCGGGGATTCGCCTCCGCGTCCTGAGCTGCCGGGCCAGGGTGGCACTCACCCCCGGGTTATGGTGGGGACGCCCCTCAGGCCTTTATGAATAATGCAATGATATTAATTATGCAATTTAATTAATTATGCGCATGCAGCCTCTACCAGCGGATCGCTGCTGTTGCTGTTGCCTACATTAAAAGGCGTTTGCTGGTTGGGGTTCTGCACGCAGCCCTTGGACCCCGGAGCCACTTAGGGCACCGGGGATGCTTTGGCACCGGGGATGTTTTGGCACCGGGGATGCTTTGGCACCGGGGATGCTTTGGCACCGGGGATGTTCTGGCCGACACCGACCTCCCTCCAACCGCCGGCACAGCTGCGCGGGTAAACAGGAAACCCCAACACCGCAGCTCCCACCAGAGCCACAAACCCCAACCCCACGGGAGGCAAATGCTCCTTCCCAAAAACACCGGCGGCTCCGCGGCCGTGGGGCCGGTGGGCAGCGGGGATGGGCGGCAGCCCCCCGGTACCGCTGCCCGCCTGCCTCCGCCGGCTTCATTTGAATGCGAGCCATGCAGAGCGCTCGCCACCGCCACTGAGGTGTGGAAATCTCGCCCAGACGAGGAGGGGGTTCTTCCTGCTCGCAGGTTTAGAGGGAAAAAAGCCGTATTAGAAGACGGGGGGTTTTAAACGGTGAATTCA